CTCGTTTTAAGATTTCAGATTGCGTAGATTTACAAAAGTTTGCATCACACCTCCTTTTACATGAAAGAGCTTGCATGATCTTTCTTCACTGATACATAGCGCAGTGCATGGAGCATTTAAACCAGGAGGCTTTGCGTATTGTAAAGTCTTAATCTTTCTAAACAAACAACATCGATAAGAAATGATACATTTCAGTGGAGGCAGACCCTCACTGGGAAGATTAATGTTAGCTTTTTGCTTTAGTTCCTTATGAAAGCAGCCGAGGATTCTTAAGTGCTGATATCATCAGTGAAAGAAGATGAAGATCCACTGAACTCATGTGCTGAGGCTTGTAACAATGTGGCAGAAGTAAAATTTAAACAGCTTTCTTTTTTTGATTTTCACACTGCAAACTAGATTATTTCCTTATCTGATGGAAAAAGTTATGCGTGGTGGTTGTGTGCTTCATTTTTTGCATCTTGAAAGAATATTAAATGCTAAATCTTTCTACATCAAGGAAAACTAATTGCATATATCTTCAAATTGATCTATTATGTGTTCAGATCTTTATAGCTGAATTGAGCTGGAAAAGTGTACTTTATCTTTAAAGGCTGCAAAATTAGTGTCTAAGGTATAGTGGTTACCAGCAAGATACAGAACTGAAGAGTAAATGGAGACATGTCTTAAATCTCTTACCCATTTTGAAAATTTCAGTCGTGATGTTCTTACCGATTTTTACCATTTCTATCTTACTGATTTTTACCATTTCTAGCATGTGGTAAAAACACTGGTGATACAAGTAGGTATATACTTGATTTAGTATTCTTATTTTCTAGGGCAAGTAATAGAACTCAACAAAAGAAGGACCTTTGTAAATCTCACGTGCCTCCATCTGTGTAATAATTCTCCCTGATATACACCATAATTTGGTCTCATTTTAAATGACAACCAAACTTGGAAAGTCTTTCTTAACATTATCTCAAAGGCTTTTAATGAGTTCCTTGTCTGTTAAGAGGAAGTCTTATTTTCAACCTACAGATTGACAATTACTATTGAAATAATAACTTTAATATTTAGAAATATATTTATTGTTGGTCACTGTGAATGATTTGTCAGAGTAATCTGGATATAATCTATGTAAAAAGTAAGTGGTTACATTTCTATAAATATGGACAATACTCTTAATATATGCTGGCAACAAGCAGTTTGATAAACAATCGTGTAGGATTGGCTTCTTTAGAACGAGAGAGGTGAGATGATAATTTGTAATCTTTTAAAAATTATATGAAGCATAGAATACTAGGCTGGAAAGGACCTCAAGGATCATCTGGGCCAACCTTTCTTGGCAAAAGCTCAGTCTAGACAAGATGGCCCAGCACCCTGTCCAGCCAAATCTTAAGTGTCCAATGTTGAGGAATCCACCACTTCCCCGGGGAGATTATTCCAATTGTTCTCATTGTGAAAAATTTTCCTCATGTGTCCAATTGCAGTCTCCCCAGGAGTAACTTCTACATCATATTTGAAGTCTTGCCTGTTTCTTTTAAAGATGGTATCAAGTTCGTAGAACTAATGCTGCTCTGTCTGGGTGTTTCTATCTGAATGTTAAGCTTTGCAAAATTACCTTTCTTTCAGTGAAGTTGTTGGCACATAGTCAGAGCCCTGGCGAGTGGTATTTTTCAGTGCCTGTTATTGTTCAAGACCAGTTGAGTTCAAGTACTGTGTTTCTTTATTGACCAGTAGTATGCGGGAATGCTTTTTCAAAACAGAAATATTATTTTGCAGTAGGAGCAAAGCATTTAGATGACAAATTTCAGAAAAAATAATCTTGTCTCATGCTTAGTGTCACATATCATGTGGTATCCCTTGGTAGGCTTGACTTTTCAGCATGGGTAGCTTGCTTTGCAGTTCTCTACACTGTAATTCCCTTAATCTCAGCAGGACTATGCATGAGAAAAACAGATACTTATAGTAGTAACTGTTTAGTACATATGGCTCTTTGCCTTACATTATAAAATCTGTAACGGTGATTTGGCTCCTGACTGGGAAGAAAAGTCTTTGCTACCAAGTATATTGTTAGAATTAGTGTTACACAGTACATAGCAAAGTATGTGATATTTCTAATAGGGAGTTTTTAATAAATTCTTGTGTCTGAAGTTTACACACTCCCCTGAATAGTCAGAATTCAGCATTTTCTTTTGTATAGAAATTACGTGACACACCGCAGGCTAAAAAGAAGCCATTTCATTATCAAGTTAATACTAATGTTTAAAAATTCCTATAGACATTTCTAACTCCAGCTTCTCTTAAAAATCAATCCATAAATAAAAGCAATGTACAACAAACTGCCTACTGGAGCACATGTCTGTGTGTGACAGACTGCATGCTTTGTAGTCTAGGTTGTTCTTTGAGAGGTGACTATTCAAAAATACTTGCAATGCTTTTTAGCGTTTAATTTTTCAAGCTAACGTAAAATAAAAGAGCAGTAGTTTGTCTCACCTTCCTTGCCTAAGCAGTATTTTTCTTACTTTTGGTTACTTTCTTTTTGAAAATTACGGTACCACAAAAGGAAATGTGAAGTAAAATGTGTGTGTTATAATGGTGTCTTTCTTCAAGGGCTGAACAGGACAAAACCAATCTTAGAATGGAAGGCATACAGGACAAAACCAATCTTAGAATGGAAGGCATATTTATAAGCTTAATTTTGGTGTGGCTTTTCTAACTCCAAGTAATTAACATATTAATATCTTAAGTAGTATGTGTACATTTTGGTGGGATGAACAATAAGTAAGTTTAGGATTGCTGTATCAGCATAATTAGTAGAATTCTTCCATTCCATGTCATGTGGTACTTTGGAATTAGTTGTGTTATGTCTTCGTCTACTATTATTCAGAAAATACATTAGCAGTTACTTACTCATAGTCATATTATGCCAAAAAGTGTCCAAGAACCTTTAATCTATGAATTTTTTTTTGCCAACATTCATTACTAAGAATTTGTAAATTAAATAGATTCATCAGGGCTGGACACTGCTCTATGCTAGCTCACACAGTTAAGCAATTAAAACGCTCAGGTTGTAAGCTTAACAGATTTTCATGAAAACTGACAGTTTTTGATTTTTAGTATATTGTTGTTGCCAGACACTAGTATAATTTGTGTACTTTTACCTTCAAACGCAAAAGAGCAGAGAGCTTTAAGTTTTCGTTATGGTCGTTAAGAGTACTGTAATGTGTGGCAAGAAAAGAGTGAGTTTATCTGAAGTAAGATTGGTAATTTGATTTCTCTGGTTCATGTTACACTGTGAAAAGAAGCTGTTCACCTCCCACTCTAAATAATTTTCTTTTTACCAGCTGGAGAAGATCAGAATAAAATGGACCCATCCCTTTTCTCAGTCCCTGGTGGTAATGATGATCCAGCATTTGTTTTTCATTCAAACCACATGTTGAATAAGTGAAAAAGAGGAAAAACATGCTGGTCATAGGTCAGGTGCAATGCAGAGTTTATACACATTTATTTTCTTTGTAGCATCTGCTATCTTGCATTTAAAGCTGTTGAATGTTGTTCTGCCTCCAGTTATTTTAAGGCAGGTTTTGTTAAAGAGTGACATTTTGGGTTTTGGCATATCCTACTGGCCAGACATTCAGCCTACAGAGCTGTAGAAACAGCCTGATTGTGCAGATGATAACTCTGCACCAGACTGGCTCTTCACAGTTTAAACTCCCTCATGATCTCATAGGGTGGAAGCTTACCCTCTTTGTTTCTGGCTTCCAATAAAGAAGACTAAGCCAAAAAATGAACCTGGAAAAGTTTTAGGGTGATAATGGGGAGCTGGGTTTGAGAACTTCTCTGCTTATCACTACTTGGACATGAAGGGGAGAATGAGGAGGAAGGAGCACAAATACACTGCAATCTACAAATGCAAATTTAATTTTTAAGCAGTATAGATTATGAGCAAAGGTTTCAGTTTTCTTACAATAAGTTACGCGTGCGTTTAGTTTGTACTGTATTAGAAGTACTGCAATGCTCACTGCTTACGATTGAAGGAGAATCGGGAAAAGTGACTATGTATCAATATCAGATTTATTTGTTGTCTTTATTACTCAAACACTTCTGGTAGTGTTTTTATAGCTCTGACTAAATTATGAATGATGTCCTGTTGGTTAGGAATTTGAAGGCAATAATTTCAAATTGTCTTAAATGTGCCAGCCAGCCAGCCAAGACTACATATGCATTTACAGCAGCTATTTTGCAGATTTATAGCTAATATTTTTTCTATATTTTTTCTTATCACTACAATTCACGTTCTGTTTTCTCCAACTTGCCAGCATTATAAAATATATTAGGATTAGAATTAATAGCTTACTATGTGGTAAATTAAATTTTACAAGATTCAAGTTGCAGAAAAGGAGAATCCCAAATGGGCATAAAAGGGGAGTGGGAAGGGGTAGGAAGGAGGGGAAAAAAAAAGCATTCTTCACAATAAGAGTTATTTAGCACTGGATGAGCTTGCCAATAGAGGCTGTACAGTCTTCATCATTAAAGGTTTTAAACTTGACTGGACAAGGCCCTGAGCAACTTGATCTGACTGAAGTTAGCCCTGCTTTGGGCTGGAGGTTGGACTAGATGACCTTTGGAGGGCTCTGGCAATCTAAATTTTTCTAAATTTAAACCACCAAAAATGTCTGAGCTGTACAAAGGATTGGACGTATTAGAAGGGAAATAAGTCCTAATGTCCTTTCTGTTCTTCAGCGTTATAAACATGCCTTTTTAAAATACAGAGCGAATGCAATGGAACTGTGAGACTGCATATCAAATGTCACACCAGAGACTTGAGTACCCAGGTTGTGTACAAATATTTTTAACAGATACTTTAAATGAACAGTGAGTGATTTTTTTTAACCTGATTTTTGTAATTAGAATAATTTTGGCTTTTTTTAAACTTAATGTTCACATCTTTAGTCTCATTTAATATGGCAGTGGGTGATTTTTTGTTGTTTTGCTTTACTTTTTCCAATTTCTATTAGGAATAGGAGGCCTGCAGGATTTTGTGCTGAAGTCTGCAACATTGTCAACGTCGCCAGCTTGTCCACCATTTACACCTCTCAACTTTGAAGCTACACCGATTGTACGGGTAGCTGTTGAACCGAAACATCCAAGTAAGTTTAAAGGAGAATGGGGATAGTAACGCAAATTCAGTGTGGTAGCAATGCAGCACCCTTAGTGATTTGGCTAGTTTATTATGTATCCACTGAACCAGAGCCTGACCCAGCATAAAACAAACATGTATGTTGCCTAGAGGCCATACTTTGTTGTCCTTGTGAACTCTTCTAGCTGGCTAGCTCATGTCTCGGTAGGTGAGGATTTACAGAAGACCTTGTTGTGCCCTTTGTGGTCAGACTTAGCTGTTCCACAAGTAAGACAGTACGTGATGCTAAAGGTTCACTATTCCTTTACTGTGAAGGTAAGTATATCTTCGGGTTTTTCACTTCTGCTGGCATTCTTTTAAGCTGCATCATTAAGCTCGTGGTACAGATTTGCAGTACTGCTTCTAGTTGATTCTCCCCCAATCAGAGAGTAGTATATCTGGCTATATTTGAATTTTAGCCCTATTTCCATTTGTTGTTGTAGTGTTGTTAGAACCAAGATATCCAGCTTTCTTTTCACTTACAAAATATTCTTAACACTAAGATTCCGTGATTTTTTAGAAAGTGATTGGACAGCAGCTATTTGTCCTGTCCGTTTGAATAACGAATAGTCATATATTGTCCATCCTGCATTTGTTAAATCAGTTTTGAAGGTATTGGAAATTACTGGTTCTACTGAGTGTAGTATTAAGTTAAAAATGTTAAAGGAATGTAATTCTAGAACTACAATTTTTTGAGTAATTTTTTTTTTCCTTAAGAAAATGAAGTTGTATCATTCTTACACTATTGCTTAATTTTTTCTCCCTCTGAATCTATGGTTTGAACTGAATTTGTTAGTGACAGATAGCTACACGTAGAAAAGTTTCCTGAAAATCAGCTGCTGCTTGTAATAACAGGAAGACAAGCAAAATTTGGCCATTGCAGGCTCAGCTTGAAAGCAGTCAATTGTCCAGTGAGTTGCGTATAGTCTTGTGGTGGCCTAGGACATTGTCACATACGGGTGCCTTGGATTTCCACAGTGAACCTACTTCAAAACTGCATCTGCTTATTTGGAAAAATTACTCAAGTAAATACAAATTATTTCCCTGTATTTTACCAAATTACCGCATGTCTTCACATTCATGCCAAAATCTTCCTGTATGGTTACTGTAAGCTTTAAAAGAAAAAAGAATAAATATCTACTCGTCCCTCTCAGTGGGCTTAAATGCAGGAGACAAGGTTGAAAGTCTGTGTTCAACTGTGTTGGCCATGTGAATTAACACTGTGTTTTTTCCACTTTTTGTTTATTTTCATGTCTAGTTTTCAAGGGTACTTTTCTATTATACCCTTACAAGCTTAGCATTAAATATACAATATCGTATTTCTTTTACTAGTCTCCAAGAGAATGACAAGTTGAATGTCACTCTTCCTTCTGATTATGAATATGCATTCCTGGAAAGCCTGTGGGTATACTTTATATAACATAAGAAAAAGGAATCATAATTAATTTTTTAATTGTATTAATTATGAAAGGCTGCTGATGTGAGGTGTTTATGCATAGCTTTGATGTAATCTAGCCAAATTTGACTCCGCTGTGGTTGTTCATTTTCCATTGACTTTAAGGCAACTCTTTTTAAACACCTTCATTTTAGGGACAGCTGTGTTATGTTTCACTGAGAAGCTCTCACATTCCTCATTTTTCCTCTTTTCAGGTTGTAATAGCCTTAAAGCTTTTCAGTGGCTTCCAGCTAGTTTAAATCCTTCCTGTGCTTCATTCACTCTTATGCCTTCTAATTAATCCATATGGAATTGTTTTTGCTTTTATTTTAGTAAAGTTAATATGTTATTATTTATGTCTTTGGAGCATTTTAAGCATTAGCAATTACAGGTTGCTACACTTAGCCATGAAAGATTGCAAAGAAATACAATTACTTACTGAAAGATGACTTTATGCAGTTGTAATAAATAAGAAAGGTTACATCTCTTGATAATTTGTGAAAATGAGGAGTGAAATACTGAAATTTTTAATCACTTCATATTGATAACATTGAAGTTTTTTATTGGTTGTGAGCTGTATCTGTAGTTAATTGTCTATAGGAAGCAATATAACATAATCATAGTCAATAGCTAGCTTGGTATACTAAACCTGTTGTAAAACTATGTAAAACAAAAATGTGCAATCCATTCAAATGTGTACCATGGTTATGATTGTATAATGTGAATTTTATCATCAGTACATAAATCTTTGGTGACAAATTATGAGTAGAGTTTACGTCTTCAGTTGCTGCTCTTAAACCATACCACTCTTTATGACTCATAAGCTGAAATTTGCCCACAGAAAGACCTCAGAACTTAGCTGAAAGTTTTTGAGTATTCCTAAAAAAAATGTATTTGTGTTTAGACTTCCATAAAAATGAGTGTTACTCTTTCTCTTTTTAAGTATATACTACTTCATATATTCCTTCTTCAGTATTTCTTTGTTAATAATACCATATTTTGCCAGGTGATATGCCTCAGCTGGTCAGAGGAATGAAGCTTTTAAACCAAGCTGATCCGTGTGTCCAAGTTTTAATCCAGGAGACAGGAGAGCATGTGCTAGTGACAGCAGGAGAAGTTCATCTTCAGCGTTGCTTGGATGACCTGAAAGAAAGGTTAGAGGGGCAAGGAGGAAGAAATATTTTTGGTTCAATAGATGTCTGTTGTTTTTCTTTGTCAGATGCATATCTTTGACTTATATTTTGGTAAAATAGAAGCTTCGTCCACCAACAGATTTTACCATTGGATCATAAATATACCTTTCTGTAGCTATAAAATTACCTGCAGTTGGTCAGAAGCCACTAGCTCATTACTTTCATACAATTTGTATACCTTTTGGGCATTTTCTAGAAATGATAAATTGCAATAGGTTCAAGAGTCCAATTAAGAATGTAACGTACCATTTGTACAAAATAAAAACTGTGAGGGGAATCATGTCTGATAAATGAACTCTCAAAAATTAGAAAGCAACAAGACCATAATTGTATGTGCACACTCTATCCTGTTCTTTGCTCTTCGCATTGCTTTTTTTTTTTAAGTGTTAATCTCTTCTCTTACTCATGAGCAGTATTTTCTGCAAGTATGAATGCATGCATTTAGTATCTTCTAATGTTTCTTCAAATGGTAGAAGAATAGTTGTCTGACCCAGTCGTTTCCTATAACTTAATTTACTAAAAAAATTCTGATACTTCTGTCCTCATGCATTTACTGTCATTTTCTAAATCAAAAAGCAAACCTGATGATGGATTGTCAAATGTCTGTCTTACTGTGCTCATATTCATTCCAGTTAATATTAGACAGCAATCACTTATGGAAGTTAGACTGGATCACTTGTAAAATTGGATGTATGTTTTAATGGTTATCCTCATTGCAGCTTAGTGCAACACATATTTACTGCTTTTAAAAACAGTATTATTTATTGATACGCATCACTTGAATGTAATGTGTTAAATAGAGCAAAACTGGTTGTACCAGCTGCAGTTTGCATAGCAAGATGCATAAACACCTTTATTATTGGCATTGGTCAAAATTTGAAAAAAAAAAAAAAGCTATGTGATGGGGAAATAGGGTTATAGTGAGCAGCTAGTAGCAGTCTTTATATTTAGATTCCTGACCTTTGCTTTTGTAAACATAATTTTGGCTTTTTTCGGAGTAGTCCTATAATTTGGCTTTAACTGTAAACTGTCAGGAGGGACTATGTTGCGTCCCTTACTTGTATCCCTCAAGAAGACATTGTCAGTGTGTCAAACTACCAAAGCACATCAACGCTTTGTGCTTGTAGCATCGTGAGCAGAAACAACAAACACCGGGAGGCAGAGACTTGCAGGGCTCCTGCCATTGACCCACTTGGACTTGACACATGGTTCGTGATGCCTTTTTTCTCACTTGTGTACCAGCTCCCAAAAGGAGTTGGGAACAAGTGTGTTTACTAGCTCATGCTCCTTCCAGCCATCTCTGAGAACTTAGTGTATCTTAGCTGCCATCCCTTACATACTAGATCATGGGATAAGAACTGTCCCTTACTTCTGTCCCCATTTTGTGGAAGGAAAAGTGAAGATCCCTGTCTTGCACCATTCCTCTTGGATTCCACGTGAGCTCTGACAGTGGTAAACTTGCTTCAGTTAATGATTAAAATGTGGAGAGGTAAAGCTGTGGGCTGAAATGTTAGTTATATTAGCTCTCTGTGTGTTTCTATACAAATGTTTAACTTTTATGCACACATAGTTTGGAATAGCAAATTGTGAACTAGGGATTGAGACAGCATGTAATACTCTTAAAGTGTGACCCACAAGGTTTTCCCCAAAAATATTGGGAAAGGTTATTCTAAGTGCTTAAGTCACACTTAAAGTAGTGGGGCAGGATTCTGATCTGGTCATCATCATCATTGTATCAACTGGGTTTTGAAGAGTTGCCATTTTTTGAATAATTACAGAAATAATTACAGGAGGTTCTGCTGAGTTGAAACTACACTGAATTGTCTTTCTCAAGATTTTAATTGAACTTTTTCAAAGGCACGTATTTAATTTTAGCTTCCCCAGTGTGTATTTAGAAAATTATGTTCAAGTGATACTTATTGTCAAGATCTGAAGAGATATGGAAACAAATAAAAGATCAGTCATCCGTGTTTATCTAAATGATTAACTGAGGATGTTCTGCTTAATTTCCCTAAATTTATTTTTATTTTTTCTTCCCAATTAGCTCTTTTCGAATAGAGTACTAAATTGGACCTTTTTATTTTAAACATTTTCTGCATTTTACAATAGAATTTTTTAGAACTTTCTGTCCAAAGACTATTGCAAATACTAAGCATAAGGGGATTTGTTTCAGAATGAGAAACAAAGATGAGAAAGAAGATGGTGGGGGTAGTGTGTGTGGGTTTTGTTTGTTTATTTAGTATAATATACAAGTGCATGAAAAACTGCAAAAAAGATAGATCTCCTGGTTTGGAGTCCCATGGAAATAAAACTTAAAATTACTTTTGCTTTTCCTCTGCAACTTTTTTCTCACTGCCAAAATTTACCAGAACTTAGAAAATTTTGTTTACTCCTTTTGTTGTCATTTAATGAACTTACTTAGACCTCATGAGTGGTTAAGAATGATACACAACTCTGAACTTTGAGTCTGTCAGATAAATAAAATAAATCATTCTTCCTTTTTCCTTGTCATCACTCACAACATTTGATATGCCAAAAATGCTCCAGCTGACTTTAAAGCATCACTTTATATCATGAAACTGTTATAATAATGGTTATCAGTCCAAAGGACAAAATTATTTCTGTGAACTTAATAATGCTGGTTGCCTGAGTAAAGGAGGGCTTCACTTCCATTTCCTGTGTAATAACCCTGGCAGTTTTTATTTAATGCTTAGTTGCAAGAAAAATCCAGACACAATCCTAGCTTGAGATTTTTTTTCTTCAAGCTGCACTTTTCTTGGAGTTTAGACTAATAGCTTCTAAAATAATCTGGTTTAGAGCAATTTTTGATGCAATGAATTGTAGCTCATATGAAGGTTTAGTACAAAGTTTAATATAAGTTTAATAACGTTGCTTTAGAACTCCTAGGTCCGTGTAGTCCACAGCACAAAAGACATAGCCTTTGGTTGTTTCTCACTGCTCAAATTATATAGATTAAAACTGATGAGTTCCTTTGTGCTGTGTTTACTTGGATATCAGTACCTATGATTTCAGGTGGCGGTAGTTGTGGTGGTTTTATTGTAGGCAGCTGTTCAGCTACTAGCTTTTAGCTGTAGGTACTACTAATTAGAACTGAGGCTTATGGCAGAGTGGTGGCTATTCTAAAACTGATTACAAGCAAAATATTTCAGCTTTAGAATGAGATAGAGCTTTAGTATGAGTGCTCCTGAATGTCATTGTATTTGCCTCACAGATGTCCATGCAATCATGTAATTCATACTTTAAGTCATGCATACTGCAGTATGATTTTCATTAATTTTATTTTTGAATGTAAACTATTACAGCATGAAAATAAATGTAACTGCTCCTGATTTACAGGGATCGGTGACTTATCCTTATCCAAACCCTAACTTTCTATTTGTGTAAAATAGTTCTATATAAACAT